GAGAGAGAGAGAGAGAGAGAGAGAGAGAGAGATAGAGAGAATACAGAGTATAAAGATGCGAGACAATTTGTGGAATGATCGTGCGAAGGATTATTAAATTGTCTCTGAGGGGATAATATCGTCGTCTGGATTGCTTAGACGTCAGCACCGATCTATTTTATTATTTACCTCGAATTGTTTCATTCTAATTTGTCTCTCGAGGTCGTACTTATCGCCCTCGAGCGCGTATACTTTTTGCCAATAGTCAGCACAGATCGTCTGGAGCTCGGCTAAAAGAATAAAAATTTACCAGAAAAAAGGGAAACGTTGTGAGGGATTGGAACAAAAAAAATGAAAAAGAAAAAAAAAAGAAAAGAAAAATGAATCGTTCGTTTCGTTAAACCAATGGGATCGGATACTTTGGCCGTTTCGTTTTTCAATGAGACACCTTGGATAGATAAAAAGAAAATTAAAAAGGAAAACTTCTTCTCTTTCTTATTATTATTATTATTATTATTCGTTCTAATTCCTTTCTTTCCTATCGAATCGTATCGTTTTTAGAAATTTCATTCCGTTTTATACTTTTCGTTTGTAATCGATAGCAACGCGACGCGAAATTACGATAGATATATTATGTATAACGGCAATGAAATGATTATAATTCCTCGTTGAATTAAATCGAACGTACGTTTATTGCATTTTTCAGATGTAAATGTTGAGATATATAAAAGAAAGGTTTGTTAAGTAAAAAAGATGAACGTGCGAATATTTGCTGCATATAAAAGCGATGCTAGAAATAGTCAATATAACGATCGGATAGACAAGGGGAAAAAAGTTAGGATGAAAGGCTTTCTTTGTTTCTTTTTTGGATTTTTTTTTTTTTGTTTTGTGGAAGCGAACGAGCTCGCACAAAAAAAATCGCGCAAAATACCTGAGCAAAAAATCGAGGTGATAGCAAAAAAACCAAAATACTCTTAGATACTAAGATACTTTCTTTTTCTTCTTTTTTTTTCTTTTTCGTGTATCCATGTGATTAGCTTTTACGTTAACCCTTAAACGAATCTTATGAGTATAGTTTTAGCCAATACATTTTTATTTCTAAACACTGCAAACGCTAATTCTACTTACTCTACGCGATAATAATACGTGTTTTAATTCGCATTCGTTTCATAAAATTACGTTTTATCCAGCTAAAATCTCACTCACTTGTCAACGTTTTAAGGGTTAAATTTGTACGTTAAGTGAAAAAGAAAGAAAGAAAAAAAAAATAGAACAAAACTGGACGTTCTACGATGCGAATAACCTGACTACCATACGCTCAAAAATTACCTACTTATTTTTTTAACTATTCATAATTACTCGTTCGTATTAGAAAGTTGCTCTTACAGCTTTTACAGTGTTAGAGTTACCGGCTTTCTACTCAACCGACCAAAACTTGCTTTTATTACTATTAATATTATTATTAATATTATTATTAATATTATTATTAATATTATTGCTTTCGAACAGGCTGCGAGAATCTAATGTTACGCATTTACACGCGTATATAGGATCAATTATAAAAGTACATCGTTATCAATCCAAAATCCATAGGCCGAGCCAGCTAAAAAAATCTTTTGCGCGAGACCAAAATCAAGAAGAAAAAAAAATAAGAAATTAAATCGATTACTGGCTTTAATTTTTATTTTTTTTTGTTTTGTTTTACGTTTACGACGATGCGCTGCAAACTAATCATCAACGAGAAACATAATTTTTTGTTTAACGAGAGAATAAAAATAATAATAAATACATGCATGCGCTGATCTCGCGCGATAATATTATTTCGAGAAATGTGAATCGATTGAAAAAAGATAAAAAGAAATCTTTTTAATTTGCAACGCCCCGTACGTGTCTTTCTCTCTCTATTTAGAAAAAGTGTCGACCTCAAAATCCTTCTTGGCAACTTCGTATTCAAGGTCGTACTTCTCCCCCTCGAGAACGTTGATCCTCTTATGATACTGGATCAGTATGGACTTGACGTTGGCTGTCAAAATTCGAAGATCATCTTGAGAATCATAATTCCTTCAAAAAGACGACCTTTTTTTCCTTCTTTTTCTATTTTTTCTTTTGTTTTTTTTGTTTGTTTGTTTGTTCGTTCGTTCGATCTTCGATTTTTAAATAAGCATATAATAGATTTACGATTCTTAGCGAGTTGATTTCGTCGACGAAGTTTATACCATTTGATACCAAGATAAAAAACGAAAAGAGAACAGAGGACTCGATTTATTTGGTCGGGGGAGGAGGAGGAGCTGGAGCAGGGGGTGGCGAGGGGAAGAGATATTTGCGGGATGTAAATGTTTTTTTTTGGCGAAGATTTAAATGTTACGATTAGAGAAAAAAAACTCTAAAATCGTAGCCAAAAGTCAATTTTGTTTGAGATAACGATGTTAGATATGTGCTACGTATACAGGGTGAATCGAAATTTTGGTTCTATTGTGTCTAACAAATTTGAAAACGTCGATTTACATTAGGAAACACGTAAATGATATTTAAGATCACGTACGACAAAATTTGCTGACCCATCCCCGCGTACGCAGCAGACATACTGAGATAAATCAATCGTTGTGTATATTTGTTCGAAGAATCACCGATCAAATCACACCGATCGGAGATGATTCGTTTATCAATTCTAATATTTAATTGCAAGATTTTGTGTATGTTTCTTTTTTTTTTTAATAATTATCAAACAAACAACAGCATTTTAATATGAAAAATCGACGTCACATAAATATATCCTTAGCCAGGAGGCAGGCATTGATGAGATATAGGATAAAAAACGATAAAAAAATAAGATAAAAAGATAAGGCATAAGGATCTCTCGCGAGCGCATAAATAATTGCTTAATTTGCATAAGAAGGACAAAATGCAAATAGAAAAAGAATGTAGAGACAAGTGATATGCCGTTGCAGTTAAAAAAAATATGTGTTTCTTTTTTTTGCTTTTTCTTTTTTTCTGGTGCGTTTGGCCAAAGAGAGATAGATAGAGATAGAAAGAGAGCGATAGGAAAACAAGAGAGAGAAAGAGAAAGAGAGAGAGAGAAAGAGAGAGAGAAATAAAAAAAAAATAGAGAGAGAGAAAGAGATAAATGTTGAAATCGTAGCGATAGAATGCGAAGCTCGTGTCCCGATGCCCGGTCGCGGAATATGCGCAAAATCTCGATTTTTTCCTTCTATGCAATTACATCATTGTTTTTTTCTTTATCTATGCACGAGTGATCAACTTGAAAATTGAAATCGACACAATTCAATTTCTACGTACCAGCAGGAATTTTTAAACAACATCATCTTATGCGATTACAGAGTAAAAAGTAAAAAAACAAAAGCTCAACTCGAAGTAAAAATGAAACAAAATTGACAAAAAAATAAAATTGTATTCTACGGGAAAAATGTTGTGGATAATGTTCACTCTAGTGTCAAAGTGTAAAAAAAAAGGCAAATTTCATTGACGATATTGAAAAAAGCCCTAATCATTAAAACAATAAGAAATAAAATAATGTTATACGCAACCGGGCAAGAGCACTGCATTAATATGTAATATCAAAAAGTTGCAACAACATTGAGCGGTCATTATTTGATAACGTTATTATAGTAAATGCTCGTTATTTGAACTAGTCGCTCGTACTCTTGTGTGCTATTCTCTCAGAAGTACCTCGTAATCCTTCTTCTTAACGACATACTCAAGGTCGAATTTTTGATCCTCCAATGCTGTGATCCTATTGTGGTACTCGCGTAGCACACGTTTCACTGTGTCTGTGTGAGAGTTAATTAGAGAAGATATAAAGACAAGAGTTTGTGACTTTTAATCAAACCGACGACCGTCCGAGTCTTTTTTTCCATTTTAAAGTTCATCATCATCATCATCATCATCATCATCATCATCATCATCATCATCATCATCATCGTCATCGTCATCATAGTCGTCGTCAATTTATTTTTTTGTCAATCAACGCGTGTTCGTTATACCTTGGTATTCGCGTTTATGCGATAATGTTGAATTCAAAATAATGGAGCGCAAGTGGAATGTGGGTTCGATAATAATTCGTAATATTTTTTCTATGTGTCAAAGTACGGGAAAGGGTGGTAAGGACGAATGGGACAAAAATTAGGTCGCTTGGAAATAATAATTAATCGATGATAATTACCTAATAAACAAAAATCTATAAGTAGATGCAATGATAAATATTGCATCGAAAAAACGAGATCTATGATACGTCCAAATATCTACATAAAAAAGAATTTTCTCTTCTATCGTGTAAGATTTGTGTCACGAATTATTGCATCCCCAAAAAAAGAAATCGATCTCATTTATGAACAATGAGATTACGTAAACGTTCATAAATCAAATTTCTAAGAGAGATGCGAACGGCTATTAGAAACAGAAATCAATTAGAAATGTTTTTCCTTCGGTTGAATACTTTGGATAGAAATTTTCTTCTTCGAAAGAATTAAAATGACGAATGTGCATTGATACAATATACGATTTCCGATGATACGATATCGGAGCTGAGATATTTCGCGAATGATATATAAAGAAAAAAGAAAGTAGACAAAAAAATAAGAAAGGATTGGTGATAGGGTAAAATACCTTCGTTAGCATCGTCGACGTTTCTTGGTTTTCCACAACGTTCTTCGATGATACGCCTCCTTTCTGCTGCTTTTCTTTCCTGCTCCTTTTTTAATTCTTCCGCAGCTTTTTTACGCAACAAGAGCTGTCGAAATAATAATAATGAGAAGAGGAAGAAGAAGAAGAATACTTAGAAAAGACGAATAAATGATATTAGGGATAATTAATAAAAAATAAACTAATAAATAATAGTAAAAAATATACGAACCCTGAGTTTCTTCTTCCTGTCAGGGGTCATGAAACCTTTCTTAGCTTTCTTAGCTTTGGAAGCCTCTTCGAGGCGGGCTCGGACCTCAGCCCTTTTCCTATCGGTCTCCGCCTGTTTCCTCTTCTTTTCCTGCATTAATCGTGTAAACACCGTTCTTTAAATACTCTGCTGATTCTAACGATTTCAAATCGGCACCGTATGGTAACCATTCAGTTGAACAACTGATCTCGAAACAACCGGATCGTTTTAATTGATGAAATCAAAATACAAATCTATGTAAATGATTATTAAAAACAATGATTTGTTACTTTTTTTTTATCTCATTAATGAACATTTCTAATCGTGTTAGTTATTTATCTAAACAGCAAAGTATTAAAATTGGATCAGACAATCTCGGAAAGTATCAACAAAATATTCTCGATTGAACGAAAAAAAAAAATGATAAATGGAAAATATATAAATGAAAAGTTTCATTTAAACAATTATAATTTATGAATTGGAATATATGATAACTGATAGTTAATCGAAGCTTCCGAAGGATATTTTTCCATCGAAGATAATTTCATAATACTTTGAAAGTGTTCCATCTCTCTTACGTACATCCTCGAGACGCTTCCTCTGTAAAAAAGAATAAAAAAGGAAAGAATATTAGAAGAAAATTCTAATGTATGACGAAGAATGACAAATCTTGTGTAAAACAACTTGAGCGAGGCAATTTACATTGTTTTTATTTTGTTTTGCGTTAATTTTAGTCGACTATACAAAGTGTAATATTTTCGAAAGATTTTCTTTATCTTTTAAAAAGCGAACAACTTCTTTAGGAGCGCACACTTTTATTATACACAAGGTGGAAGCATTTTTATCGGATCACGGTTTAACGTGTTGTAACAGCAAGATAATTCTTTTTCCAATGTTACAAAAAAAAGAAAAAACAAGAAAAATAAAAAGATATTCAGGTTTTCCGATTGAAATACTTCACCGTGTGTATGTATTATATATTTTGTTTGAATTATTCGTTTTTTTTTTCTTTCCTTTTTTTTTTTACAAATTTATCGTAATTAATTAAAGCTCAAGGTTCGAACACAGCGTGTAAAATAAAGCGAATAACGAGACAACGTTTATATAATATACGTCCCGTTTTTTTTTTTAAAAGCACAAATAAATAACAGAACATGCAAGAATAATGTTTCTTTCTTTTTTTTTGTTTGTTTGTTGCATGAACATTTGCATTCGTACGTGCGAGCATCGTGTCTACTTTACCAATAGCTCTCTGCATTTCCGTCCTTGTCTATCGACGATATTTGCATTCGGATTTGTGATTTCTTTCTATCTGTACTATTGTCTTTTTTTTTTATTTTTCGTTGTATATGTTTAATGATCGTTTCGAGAAAATAGAAACGATTAGAGGGGGGGGGGGAAATAAAAACAAAATGGGGGCTGAAGCTCGAAAATACCGATAAGAAAAATCGATACTTCGTTTGTAAAAAAAAAAAAAGAAAAGGAAAAAAAAAACAACCAACAGCAAGAACAAAAAATAAACTCTCCTTTGTGCGAGAACGTCGAAAACAAAAAAGATAAAAAAGTTTCCAATAGGAAGACTGGAGGGTAGCAAACTCGTAAACGTTTGTCGTTTAGATGTGTGTTTCTACAAAAATAAAAATATATGTAGAGGAAAGAAAAACCATCTGGGAGGAGAGGGGGATGAAAAAAGAAAAAGAAACGAGACTCGGTCTGTTCAAAGCCTCCAGAAAAACGGGTTGAAAAAGTATTATTTTCTTTTTCTAATTGTAAATAGATTATTATGCATCAAAATACGACACTGAAATATATCATTTTTATACTATTCTAATAAAAATAGTATAAAATTAATTTCTATTGTATTTTTCATGTGTTCAATGAATAATAAACTCGTATATATATCCCAGTCCGCAAAAATGTCAAACATCTAATTCTAATAGGAGAACAAATAGAGGAACAAGCACAAAAAAGACACACATAAATCCGTACCTTTCAATTTGTAATTCATACTAGGATCCGAAACCGAAAAAGGGTTTTTTTTGGGATCGCCAGTGACGAATGTTCCATAATTAGATGTAGAAATGTGATCCACGATGAATAATGAAAAGAAAACAAAATTATAATTGACGATCAAACGATAATAATAATAATAATAATAATAATAATAATTAAAAATGCAATTATGATGGAACTTATTTAATCGAAAAAATATTATTTCACGGATCGTTCGTTCGATACTCACCTAACCTCATCGTCCGCCATGTTGGTGCCTGCTTCTTACGCGCGTCTACCTAAAAATAAAAAAAAAAAAATTACATAAATAACGTAAGTCATAGATATACATATTAAATAAATTTTGTATCGAATATAGATAATGGACAGAAAATAAAAAAGAATAAAAATGTTGTTCAATTGGAAAATTGTCAAAATACAATATTCGCGTGAATGACATTTTGGATATTTGCAATGATCATAATAATATTCCATAAGCCTCAATTTTTCCGTTTATCTCACGAAACAAGAAACTTCATCGCGGATGGGGTATAGAATATCGAAAGAGTAAAAATAGATCTCGAGCACCCCCACTTTTCGAAAGGTCTCGTAACGTTGAGTCGGTTTGGCTACGTCGGTATATCAGGGCGATCCAAATTTGGATCCAACATGCTGCTGCAGATTTCTCTCTCTCTCTCAATCCTCCCCTCTCTCTCAATACACATCGTTTTACACGCAAGATCCAACATCGAAGAGAAAAAACTCGATCTTTTCCGAGAAGATATTTTTGAATGATATTACGATTTACGTGAGTTCATTTCCAATATGTTTACCATTATATTATTTTTATTTGGAAATAATTTAATCTGCATTTAAAATGACCAACTTCTTGTCATTTGATTTTTCATCAATTTTTAATAAATAAATAAAAAATCCATAGGAAAACATAATAATAGAATGATAGACGTTTGATAAAATAGTCGAGACAGGTGAGAAATAAATATAGTTGAGAGTATAATAATAGTTTAGAAATAAAGGGAAATTTATGCGCTAAAACTTTTTGCCCTACAGTATTGTCAGATTTATTCTTATTCGTAAATTTTCTTATACAAGTATATTACTCGTACATTAGTACCGTTAGATTTTTGCAGACTCTCGGTCATTTATATTCGTAAAAGAGTGTGCAAGATTTCTCTCCATCTCATTCTCTCTCTCTCTCTCTCTCTCTCTCTCTCTCTCTCTTTCTCTCTCTTGCCAAGTATAGATTCTCATCTCATTCCTAAGCTATTCTAAGCTCACAACGAACCAACGAGAAATTACAACTAGACTCAGTATTCTTCCTAGCTACGTGTATTCTAACATCCCCGAGGTAAAATATATAGTAAGATAAAAAGAGAAAGAGAAATCTATCGCTCTATTGTAAAAATAGAAATAATATTCTACTTCTTTTTATTCGTGTCTTCATTTCTATTTTTATTTTCTCCGTTGCGTACAACGACTTACGAGCTTTCATCCAAATAATAATAATAATAATAATAATAATAATAATAATAATAATGATAATAATACAAAAAATAAAAAGAAGGAAAAACTTTCATCGAGTTTATCTTTTCGATATCTTCCAACAGGTACGATGAAAACAAAAAAAAAACAAAAAAAATAAAAAGTATCCAAAACGAAATAAAAAAAAAAAGTAAAATAATCTCTTTCCGCGAATAAAGTGGAGAGAGCATTTTTTGTATTTTTAATAAAGAATAATTCACTTAACAACAAAGATACACTATATTAAAATGACGTATATAACATGAAACAAAGTATCCTAATCTTTCTCAGTTCACCCAAACACGCCATACCCTTATATACCATTTATAATACGGGTCCGTAAAAAAATGTTCAATACCAACATAAAATAACGATGATGATATATATATATATAGATTAAAGCATGCGATATCACCTTTCACTGACACTCGAAACAACGAAGATAAATGTCGTTTAAAAATGATAGATAAGCGCGCATACAAGCTATAGGTGTTTTTTTTGTGTGTTTCCCCCGTTATTATTCGAAGAAATATAAAATATTTGGTTTCTCGCGTAAAAAAAAAGAGAAAAAGGTGGGGAAAGTAAAAAAGAAAAAAAAATGAAGAAGCTGCTTACCTTGATAAGAACTATCTGGCTTTCGGACTAGCCAACCGAACGTTAGGCAGCTGACTGTGCCTTTCTTGCGTGCCTTCCTCGCGTGCCTTCTTCTCGGCACGTTCACGTGGTCCTTCTAACGACCAATGAAAAGCCCTCGTCGTACCAAGGTAAACATTTTTAGACGAGGAGCTCTGCTTCTGTGCTCGTCGCCAAAAATAAATTCCAAAGTGAAAACGGAGCTGGGTCTTCCTCCTCCTCCTCTCGATCGACGTTTGCACGATCGACGGTTCTCTTCGATCGATTGTTTTCCTGCCCCTCTCGATATTTAATATGTTTACATATTTTTTTTCTTTTTTTTCGGTGTCTATGATTCATACGACGTTTTTGTCAATTTATTCGCAAATACGAATATATAATGTTACGTATATTTAGATATGTGCAATATATGCATAATAATAATATTGTATATATATATATATATATATTGTTATATGCAGCTAAAATAATAGTAATGGTAATGGTAATGATAATGATAATGATATGTGTAATACAGTAATAATAGAAGATATAGTGTACTATAATAACAATGTAGTATAATGTAAGATTATAATATTTATGCTGCAGACAAATTGATGAAAATTTTACGAGTTTAAGATCAAAATCATTAGACACGAAAAAGATATTATTAATCTATTCGTTAAGAATTTATTCGAGTGGGGCAGGTGCTTGGCACTAAACGCGTAAAAGCTGATGAAAACGTTGACGCCTAAATGCACGCACTCGTAAAGTTCTAATTCATTTTCAATTTAAATCCAGAATTCAACAGAAACGAATATCATATTTAGAAAACGTTCAAGTACGTTAAGTAATCAATATTATCGACAAAATAAAAAACAACGTTCATTTATTCGTTTAACGATTATTAAAATATTACCTAGTAACTAATTGTTCGTAAAGGAAACGTTTTAAATATAATAATAAGAAAATGATTGTGTCATATAATTAAAGAAAAATTTGGCTGCAAATAAAATCGCAACCATCGCTTAAGTAGTAACTACCTCTACTGGCCGGACAAAGTAGTAGGTGTCACCGATTAGTGACCGGGCAAGTAGTAAAAGCAGTTAAAACAGACAACGGTCGGTAAAAAGTAAAGGTAGTTTCACTGGTATAACATTTCCCTCGAAAGATGGCGAAACTTTTGAAAATTGATTTACAGACATTGCATTCTCATATCTTTAGACATTCGTAAAAGTAATATATCATATACGTTACTTCGAGATAAAGTAAATAAATCGCGGACGTGATATAATTTTACTAAATTATTCTCGAATCTTTTGTATTCTTTCATATTACTTCATACACAATTAATCATAAATTTATTTTAATTTTGTTATACACCAATATGAATGAATTAGAACTGGGTCAATCATAATACTTATTCCATACTAAATACTGTTAATTGTAATTAGAAAAAATAATATAATTAATAATAATTCCTAAAAATAAACTAATACATATATTATACATTATTAAAATATTCTAAACGCATATATATTCCTAATATATATATACAAACACACAGACTTAAACGTATGCATATGTTAAATGTTTCTAAAAAAACCCTATGCTTTAAAAAAAAAAAGAAAAAAAAAGCACGTGAAAGACTTCTTATGTTTTATATATTAGTAACTTTCTTGAATTATTAGATTATTTTTCTTTCTGCACATTTTCCTGACACCATAAAAAAAGTAGGATGATGGCGAACGTCTTTTTACAACTTATTTAATTATTGACGAATAAATTCTTACACGTAGAGCAAACGCGTAACGATCCTGTCTCTACGGCGTTCAAAATACAAATAAAATGTATCAAAATAAGATGTACAAGTCACCTGTCCCCTTTCAACTGCCTTAGGCTGTTGTTCGAAATGTTTTTCTACGTATGCTTGATGAAGGGAAATTCTTCGAATTCGACGAGCTATGTAAACATAGCCGTTGCTTGCCTCGTTTCATTTTCACCTTCTCCTTTGCCTAACTCTCTCTTTCTCTTTCTCTATAATATATATATATTCGACCATATGTACTCGTAAAAATAAAAAGTAAATACGGATGTTATAAAAAAAAAAGGAATCTACAAATAAAAAATATAGAATGAATCTATTGAAAGCTTCTTTTCTTTACTAATATTTCAAAAGATAAATTTTGGTCTCGTTTATCTTATTATTTTCAAATAATTTTCGAAATAAATTAATAAATGTAATCTGAAATATTTTTATACGCCTCTAATATTAATATGCATAATATATATATATAAATATTAAAAAAATATTCGCGATTATCCCATGACAAAAGATTTTCAAAGTATCGTTATAAAAGCATGCGATTAAATGTAGCTGTTAGATTGAGTTTTACCTTTCCCCCTTCCATATTATTGTAAAAGATTTTTTTCAATCATTCTTATGAATGACATTGTTGCACTTTTCGTGTCGCACTCTAAATTGTTTTGTCCCGCTGCACGGTTGTCTCGTATTTCCCCTCTTGTCTGATCGATATATCCCTCCCTCCCTACCCCCACATTTCTCCTCCTCCTTTTCCTTCAGCACTCGAATAACGCGATCCCCTAAAAACCTTTCACTTTTCGTCTTGCTTTCGGTAAAATTTTCGGTATACCCTGTCCAAAGAAGATTTGTTCAAAGATTGGCCCTAAAAAAGAGAAAAAAATGTTATAAATAATATAGCAACGGTACCGTAACCTCTAACCTATTCGAAGCTGTCGTTTCCCCCATGTTCGAGAAGTGGCAGGGGGAGGAGGAAGAACGGGTCGAGGGATGCGGGTTGCACCGGTGGAACGGGGGGCGGGTAGAGAGGAACCAAAAGGTGCCTGTGAACCGAAGTTGATTGACCTGGTGTTCCTGTTGCCACGACGACGATCCCGTGACGTCACGGGACAAACTAGGGTTTATGGGTGACCTACTTTCTAAAAATAACCATCACCGACCTCTCCCCTCCCTCTGGCAGCAGTCTTCTTTCACCCATTCCACCCACCATCAGCGCCACTACCAACACCACTTTTCTCTTTTCTTCGAGCAGCAGCAAGCAGTGTCGTTACGCCTAACCACGATACTCCTTTTCACCCTCACCCTCTTTTCCTTCCCACCCCTTCTTCCATTTCAAACCCCTTTACTCTAGCATACTTATGCACGTTTCTATAGACATTAATATTATGAAACTTTTGATTTAATGCAAAAACAACGGGTATTGCGATCTACGTGTTGGGCAGGTGTAACACGTTATTTTATTCTTTTTTTTCTTTTTTTCTTTTTTTCGGTCAATTTATCGAACGCGAGAAAAAATATTTTCGTAGGAAATATCTATATTTGGCATACAGAGATATTATCATACAAGGTCAGGTTTAGCGATCTACTTTTGAATAAATAACTTTTACTCGATTTTAAAACGGGGAATAATATACTGCAAGATTTATTAATTAGTAATTATAGTATCGATAGTATCTATTACTAATCGTGTTAGATATGAACAGATATTACTTACACAAGGTCAACTCTTTGTAATTTACTCCGAACAATTCGTTTTTGAAATAGAAATCCCATCGGATTTTATTTTATTAATCAAATATTCTCTCACCACAATTTATATGTACGTTTAGATATATTTCTACAAAAAAAAATCATTATAATATACATGGTCAATTTTATGATTTTTACTCGATTGTTTTCGAATCTCAATTCAAACCTGATCTTCTAATTTAGGATTCGCGTCGTTTTTTTTGGACGAGAATGATCGTGGGAGATGATATGATCTTTTAGAAAAAAAAAGAAAAAAAAAAGAAGAGTACGGAAAGGTCCAGGATGGGACCGTTACGTTAACGTTAAATCGATCTCTTTCGAGTTTGTCTTTTAGGACAATCGAAAAAAAAAAAAAAAAAACAAAAAAAGTAAGAAGCTTCCGATTGCCTTAATCGTTCTAGTAAGCGAGTATCGATGGACATAGACGACGTAGTCATGGGAATTTCTCAATAAACTCTTCGATCGGCCTTCCGGTAGTCAGGCTGGGTTCGTTCGACCTACTTTCGCCCGGGCAATGACGTTGGACATGACGTCACACGTTGAAACTAGGTCGCGAGGGTAAAGCACCCCATCGGCTTTCCTTGGGTATATACTTGGACGTGGACGTGGACGACTCCGATTCATTGAAAAAAGAAGCACCACGGAAGAAAACCAACATCTCTCTCTTTCTCTCTCTTTCTAACGATACTTAATTCCATTTTACAATGATTGATAAAAACGATCTCCATTTATCTTTGTGTTTTTTTTCTTTTTCTTTTTTTCTTACAATTATATTCATAAATATTTACTCGTTGTATTTCGTGATATTAAATCAATCGTAACACATATTCGATTGAATAATTTAATCTCGTTTACAATGAATATTATATATAAATTAGTTGTGTAAGTATTGTTAGAATTATTAAATAAAGTTTCGAGTCGAGACGACGACGTTTCGAAACGAACGAAACGGATACAATGTTGTTGTTAAAAAACGTATCTTGATCTTGTTATCGTTGATAAATGTTAATTAAACTATATTAGGAAAAAATTGGAGATAATAGATTTGGAAAAAGTCGCGGAGAAACGAAAGATGTTTGAAAGCCGAACGGTTGGCAAATCTCATGAATGGCCGCGTAATGTGAATGAAGCTCCAGTAACCCAGTTTTGCTCCGCGCACCCTACATCCCTTACTCCTTCTGTGTGTGTGTGTGTGTGTTCGGTGCGGTGCGATGCGATGCGATGCAATGCGATGCGGTGCATAACGGATCCGCTAGGCTCGACGACGTTATCGTTGGCTTTCTTCTCTTACGTTGCAATGAAACTATAAATATTCCTTTCTTTTTTTTTTTATAATAATAATTTAATCGTAGTCGACGATTTAAAGAAATTATTTGAACAAGATTCGTAAGAATTGTACGAGTTCTTTTTCGATAAATTTGATGATTTTGAATCGATCAATAATCGATCGGATATTAATTCAATTCATAGATGATCTGACAATTTATAAAAAGCATGAAAGGGTAAAAAGAAAAAAGTAAAAAAGATCCGAGGA